TTTTCAGATGCTGTATTTAAAATTTCTTTGAATTCTTTTCTACCCAGCAAGTTCTCATTACTTTTATAATAATTTCACAGCTCCACATAAATTATCTGAGTCTCGCTAAGATTATTTCTGAGGAGAGTGACTCCTCAAAATGGCAACAGGATGTTTTGTCCTAAGCACTGTTTCAAAAATACAGCGACCTTTCCAACACCTTATCTGAAATAGGAGCAGAAAATGCCTTAGGTTTGAATGGGATGGTAATGATGCGAAACTGAAAATCTAATGGCTACACCATGTCAGATAAATTGGGACAGAAAAAATGTTCCAAGCCACAAAGTGAAGTTATATTAATAATGAGGACCATAAAAAATGTGTCCATAAAATTCATCTCTTCTAAAAAAGATCCCCAAAGTACATATGTTTTCTAAAACTAAAGAATCAAAACTTGAAAAAAATTTAAAGTGGAAGGAGTGATATATCTGAAGGACAGCATGCTTTCCCTAACAAGCAGGAAGTAAGCAATGAAGGCAACAATGAAAGCTATGAAATTGTGTGTAAGATATTTGATTTGAAAATTTAACTTTCATTTAAACTGACAGGAGCTCTCTGAGGCAAAGGCATTTTTGGGAGACTTGACCCCTATGGCAAAGGAAATAAATGCAAAAATAAACAATTGGGATTGCCTCAAATTAAAAAGGTTTTACATAATGCGGAAAAACAGGATGGTGATTAAAAAGATATCCTACTGGCAGCCCCAGCCCAGAGAGGGAGTGGGAACCTACCTCCGGGGCAGACCGGGCGCACAGGGAGTGCGTCCCAGATTGCCATTTCAGAACAGGGACATTTCTTCAGTAAAGACTGCCTGAAACCAGCAGAAGGCTCCCGGAGGAGCCAGAGGTGAGCTGGGAAGTTCGCCCACGCCAGGCCCCTTCTGACTGCAGTCCGAGCCCAGAGGGGGAGTGGGAACCCACCGCCAGGGCAGACCAGGCAGGCAGGGAGTACGTCCCACATCGCCATTTTAGAACAGGGACATTTCTTCAGTAAAGACTGCCTGAAACCAGCAGAAGGCTCCCGGAGGAGCCAGAGGTGAGCTGGGAAGTTTGCCACGCCAGGCCCCTTCTGGCCTGCAGTCAGAGCTCAGAGAGGGAGCGGGGACCCACTGCCAGGGCAGACCAGGCGCGCAAGGGAGTGTGATCCCGCATTGGCATTTTAGAACAGGGACCTTTCTTCAGTAAAGACTGCTTGAAACTGACAGATGGCTCCCGGAAGAGCCAGAGGGGAGCAGAGAAGTTCACCCAAGATGCCGGCCAGTCCCAGCAACACAGTGTCCCAACGAATATGGCATATTAGAAAACAGACAGTAGGGAGTAGAAGAACCACACGCAACCTAGCAACTCCTCAGGAAAAAAGCACACCACAAAAAGAAAACCACCCCCGAGATTGCAACGACAGTAACTTGGAAGAACTTCTGAGCCTTCCAGAAAGAGAATTTAAAATTGCCATGATTAAAAAACTGACAGAAGTCATAAAGGAAAACAATGATAAGGGAAAAATAATCAATGATCAGAAGAATGAAATTGAGTCCCTCAAGAGGGAAGTAAAAGATGCAGGAGATCAAAGAATTAATGGAGGCACTAAAGAACTCTGGGAAAAGCAATGAAAGCAGAATAGATGAAACAGAAGAACGAATAAGTACTCTTGAAGACACAGAAATAAAAAGAACCAAAACAGAAAAGGAAAGACAAGTATGAAGGAAAAAGAACGAAGAAAGACTTCGGGAACTATCTGACTCCATGAAGACAGGAAATATAAGAGTTATAGGAATACCAGAAAGAGAGGAAAGAGATGTAGGAACAGAGAAAATATTCAAGGAAATAATTGAAGCGAACTTCCCAAACGTGAAGAAGGAGCTGAAAACTGATATACAAGAAGCAAGAAGAACACCAAACTTCCACAACGAAAGGAAAAATACAGCAAGACACATAATAGTAAAGCTCCCAAGAATCCAGGACAAGGAAAAAATAATGAAGCTGACAAGAGGGAAGAAACAGATTACATTCAAAGGAAAACCAATCAGGCTGACATCAGACTTCTCTGAAGAAACTAAACACTACGGGCAAGGAGAGAGTGGACGGACATAGTCAACAGACTCCAAGAAAACAGATGCCAACCAAGAATACTTTATCCCGCAAAGCTCTCCTTCCTCTATGAAGAAAGAATAAGGACCTTCCCAGACAAACAGAAACTCTGGAATTTCATTACGACTAAACCCCCACTCCAAAAAATACTACAAGGAATCCTAAAGCCAGAACATCATTGGGACAAATAACAACGAAAGAAGGCCAAAGAAAGTTTGTTCAATAAATGGTGCTGGGAAAACTGGGTCGCTACATGCAAAAGAATGAAGCTTGACCACTACCTCACACCATACACAAAAATCAACTCAAAATGGATTAAAGAACTAGACATAAGACCTGAAACCATAAAATACATAGAAGGAAATATAGGCGAAACACTACGTGATATGCACATTAAAGACATCTTTACAGACACATCACCCAAAGCAGTGATAGTGAAGGCAAAGATAAACAGCTGGGACTATATCAAATTAAAGAGCTTCTGCACAGCAAAAGAGACAATAACAAAAACAAAGAGAAACCCCACCGACTGGGAGAACATTTTTGCACACAACACTAATGATAGAGGATTGATCACAAAAATCTGCAAAGAGCTGATGAGACTCAACAACAACAAAGAAAATAATCTAGTCAAAAAATGGGCAGAAGAGCTAAAAAGAAACTTCTCCAAAGAGGAAATGCAAATGGCCAAGAGGCATATGAAAAAATGTTCAACATCACTTGTAACCAGGGAAATGCAAATCAAAACTACCATGAGATACCATCTTACACCAGTGAGAATGGCACATATTAAAATAACTAGCAACAACAAATGTTGGCGAGGATGTGGAGAAAAAGGAACTCTCCAGTACTGTTGGTGGGAGTGCAAACTGGTCCAACCACTATGGAGAGCTGTGTGGAGATTTCTGGACCTACTAAACATAGAGCTTCCATATGATCCAGCAATTCCACTCCTAGGTATTTACCCAAAGGACACAGAAACATCAAGTCCAAAGAGCACCGCTATGTTTATAGCAGCACTGTTTACAATAGCTAAGCTATGGAAACAACCCAAATGCCCAAAAATAGATGACTGGATCAAGAAGATGTGGTACATATACACCATGGAATATTACTCAGCATTCAAAAAAGATGAACACATGCAATTTGCAGCAACATGGATGGCGCTGGAACGGATCATGCTCAGCGAAAGAAGCCAGAAAGAAAAAGAAAAATACTGGATGGTCTCACTCATAGCAGGAATCTAGAAAACTTAAATAAGGGACCAGGAAAATGAATAACTGTAAGAAAGTGAAAATCAAAATCAACAAAAAACTATGAACCAGAAACACTCTATGGGAGGTGGGGGCAGGGAGGGGAGGGATTGGGGTCAAAATAAGGGCGTTGCAATTGTATGGGGAATATAAAAATAAAATTTATTAAAAAAAAAGATATCCTACTGAATGAAAGAAAATAGTCATACAATATTATAACTGGCAAGAGTTATATAAAACATAACAGAAAAACAAACAGCCCAATTAATAAGTGAGCAGCAGATACAAGCAGACAATTCATTGAAGAAGGTATCCAGTAGACATGAAAACCAAGAGACATGAAAAAATGTTCATACTCACTTCCAATAAGACATACAGGGCAAAACTATAATGAGATGCCATCTCACAGATGTGAGCATGGCAAACATTAAAAAGACCTTCAATAACAAGTGCTGCAGAGGACAGAGATAAAGAGGAACCATATTATACTGTTGTTGGAAATATAAACTAGTCCAGCCATTATGAAAGAGATTTGCATTTATCTTCAAAACTAAAAACAGAGACACTACACAACCCAGCAATCCGCCTCTTGAGCATCCATCCAAACAACATGAAATCATCAATGCAAAAAATTACATGCTCCACAGTGTTTACTGAAGCACTATTTACAATACTAGGATATAGAAACAACCTAGATGTCTATCAACAGACAAATGGATCAAGAAAATGTGGTATTCTGACACTATGGAATACTGTTCAGCAATAAATACAGATGGAATTTGGCCATTTATAGCAAAAATGGAGGAACTTCGAGGTAATTATATAAAGTAAGTCAGCTGACACACACACACACAAAACCACTGGATATTTACATAATGGACCACTAGGCAAAATAAAATATATACAGCAGTAACACCCTTCAGCAGTGTTCTCCGTTCGTCTGCCTTTTCTACTCCCTGCTCTGTCTCTGGTGAATCCTCTCACACTCCAGCGCCTCTGGCCTGTACCCCAGTTCTTGTATTTAAAAAAAAAAAAAAAAAAAAACCACTAAAATAACAACCAAAAAAAAAATCTTATGTGAATAAAACCATCAACCAGAGGAAGTACAACATTCTATTGGGTTGCTGGAAAAGTCATGACATATTTTTCCTATATTTTTCAAGCAAAAATGTGTCATGACTTTTCCAACAAGCCAATACTAGAATTTCACTCTGTCTGGCATACTTACTGAAGGTGCTCATTGTTATAAATTATCTATTGTCTAAATGAAATATTCTATAATCCCAGGTCATGTTTTCAATGAGAGAAAAGTGCCTAAATGTTGTGGTTTATTTTAATGATTAAATAATTAAACTTTCCTTACATAAATATTCTACTTTAATGAAATCTTGTTTCCAGCAAAGCTTTTAAGGAACAGGTAGGATTTAACATGAGGCTGATGTAAGTATGAGGAAGTGAGCTTAAACGTTATAATTTTATGATGAACAGCTGGAAATACATTAATATAAAAGAAAGCGGTGGTGGGAGGGGAGGGAGAAAACAAGTGCTTAAATGGAATGCAGTTATTTTATATTTATTGTATTTAACACATAAGTATTATTTTTTCCCTAAAAAAGTTTACCTGTATATTTGAATCTCCCTTTATATACTTTGCTCCTTCTATTATAGTCATATAAGAAAATTTGAGTTGATCTGGTGTCTGAATAAGTCCCATTCGATATTTTCTCATATTCAGTAACAGCTGTTTAATATTAATATCATCTCCTTTTTCCATCTGCAAGAAATGTAAAAATTATACAAGTTTTTGTTGAGTCCAGGAAAGAGAAGCAAATCAGGAAAATTGCTACGAGTTTTGCAATAATCCTCAAGAAAAAGGACACATTATAACTGCAGTTGTAAACCAAACAGCCATCCCAAGTTACCCATCCTCCCCACATCTCAATTGTTTCAAGTAGTAGATACAGGACTTTTTGGTCCTTCAGCTGATTCACAAATGATTCCAAGCCATTATAGCAATCTCATTTACCCTGGCTACTATTTGGTCAAAATCCTGGATTTATATTATGGCTTACTACAAGGATAAGTCCACTGGGATTAGTGTTCATATTTTTCACTTCTTGAGAAGGTGTTGATAGGAGTAAATCTTTCTGCCTGGTGCCCTTTGCCTTCATGTCCATGTGTAGCAGTTATCTCAAGATGGTAGAGCAAAGAAAGGGAGGGGAGGAAAAGTAAGGGGAGGAGAAGGGAAGGGAGGAAGAGAGAGAGGAAGGGAAGAAAGGAGAGCCCAGATTCATGATGACACTGTTGACTTACTGTACCAGTCCTGAAACACGGATGTGCTATCATGTCCAACATACACTCCCACCCCCATGTGAAAAAGAAAAATGTTGCTGAAGCTATGTTTGGCAAGGAATAGGTACAAATACATAATCTAGTTTTAATATGCATCATTAATAAAACAGACCCTAGAATTTTAAACATGTCAGAGTTCACTTTAATATAAAGTCCAATTCTTGATTGAAGTACACTATGAATATAGGCAGAGTGGCAAAATAATACAGTAGATATTTTAAATATTCTAATTTGGTAATAAGGAAACTAAGATATGAGAAGTGCTTATCTGAGGAGGAAGGAGTTCATTATTACATATCAATTTATATTTGACAAATAAAGGAGCAGGAAGGAAAGACCTATATTTTTATAACATAAAGCTACCAAGAAAAAAAAAAAATCAGCTCTCCTGAAGAGCTCTAGGATTATCTTGGATGCAACCCCCAAATCACAAACGAAAGGCCTACAAAAGTCATAAATGAGATTTTTAGGTTCCAAAAGACAACAGCTAAAGTTGGGTGGAAAAAAACAAAAACAAAAGCAGTTCTAAGATACTGACATTAGAGCTTACTTCTGTCAATGAAATCAATTTAAAAAGACAACAAAACAAAAATGAGATCATAAGCAGCACTTACCAGAACCAGACAGGTATCTACCAGAGAAAAGGTGCCTGATCGCCCAATGCCTGCACTGCAGTGAACCACTGCAGGCCCGTGTTCAGGATTCAGGGAACCAGATTCTCTCACTTTAAATAAGAAATTGAGAAATGAAGCTGGTGATTCCGGGACTCCAAAATCTGGCCAGGTAGTGTAATGAAAGTGAGATATTGTTCTGGTTTCACCACTCTAAAAAGTGAAAAATCAAAGGGGAAAAGTTAGCTCTAATTTTTTTTTTTTTTAACACATCCTCATAGAGACATGTGTTCTGTAATGCTTTTAATCCTTATGGACTTTCTGTATCATGAATTTTCACTTGGTTTGATAATCTATATAAATTCTGGGAGATTTTCTATAGGAGAATTTGTAATATATTAATAATAGCTACCATTCCCATAACACTTATTTGGTAGGCATATTCTAAGCTTTTTATGTATTAAATCAATCCATATAACAATATTATTAAAATTCATTTTTCCAGGGCCTCCCTGGTGGCACAAGGGGTTAAGCAGCCTCTGCAGCACAACTTTTACCCCCAGCTGGCCAGGGAGCAACCCACATGGCACAGCAGACCTCTCCCGTCTTGCCCACTGCTACTCTCAGCAGTGTATTTCAGCCAGTCTGTCTGTTCTGTTCCCCACTGTCTCTGATAAATCCTCTCAATGCCTCCCTGCCCCCGCTCCTGTATGCATAAATAAATAAACCTTAAAAAAAAAAAACAAACTCATTTTTTCCAGATGAGAAAATTGAGGCAGAAGATGAATAATTTATTGAGGCAGAAGAGGAATAATTTATTTAAAGTCACACATCTAGAAAATGGAAAATCCAAGATTTGAAGAGTTTGGTACATCATTTGGGTACTAAGCCACTAACTTGTTCCATACATGATCCAATCTTTTCTCTAATTCATACAACATGATGAACAGATTCTTTTCCTATTTTGACAAATCTGTTCCAGTATGTTAGTCTTTAATGATTTCCTTTTTAAGAATTCCCAACTATAATTTTATATATACATATAAATAAACTCTTCCTCATGAGTTTTTAGATTCTGCTACACAAAGAGGAGAACTAATTTAAAGAACCAATCTTTACATTTTAACCTGAAACTGCTCTTCTCATTGCTGCTTTTTCCCATGGTAATAATTTCCAATTATTTTCAATGGGGAATTTTGAAATTCCAAATTTCCAATTTGCTGATATGCTAAAATGTTTACCAACATACAAAATGTTGTTTGTCTCTTAAAGCCTACCTGGTCCTCATTATCACCTCCTGAATATTCCTGATGATCTATACTTCTGAATAAATAACTAGTTCCTTAGCTCTTGGCAGTTATGTTTTGACGCTAGGAATACTTCTCTGCCTTACTCCTCATTTCTGTAAATGAAGTAGTAAATCTCTAACATGCATACCTTTTCAGTTTTATTATTAGACTTTTTGAAGGAAGGAGTGATAGTGATAGAAGCAAAATTTAAAAAGTCCTGATTTTTTTTAAAAAGATTGATTTATTTATTTATACAAGCACTGGGTATAGTCAGAAGCGCGGGAGGGTGAAAGAATTCACCAGAGCCAGAGCGGGGAACAGAACAAGCAGATGGAACAAAATATACTGCTGAGGGAAGCAGTGGGTGTGGTAGGAGAGGTCTGAGCGTCATGTGGGACCCTTGCCAGTGGCTGGGGATTGAACCGGCGCTGCAGAGGCTGCTAGCAGCTTCGCAGCCCAGCGCTCAACCACTGCACCACCAGGGGAGGCCCAAAAATCCTGATTTTTAAAATGGCTAATATCAGATGATTATTATTAGCATCCTATTTTCAATAAAAATTTACAAAATTGAAGTTAATTTGTTAAAAAAGATTTTCCTTGTTTGTAGTAGAAATTAATATTTCAAAGTCACAGACTCAGTTATATGAGGTAAAACAGTGAAAATTACAATGTAGACATTAAAAAAATTTAAATTATATACTTTTAGTGACTAGTTTATGTTTTTTTTTTTAAAGATTTATTTATTTATTTATACAAGCACTGCGTACAGTCAGAAACGCAGGAGGATGAGAGGATTCATCAGAGCCAGTGTGGGGAGTAGAACAGGCAGAGTGACGGAATACACTGCTGAGGGGAGCAGCAGGCGGCAGGAGAGGTCTGAGTGCCATGTGGGACCCTCGCCTGGCAGCCAGGGATCAAACCGCCAATGCAGAGGCTGCGGGCAGCAGCTTCGCAACCCAGCGCTCAACCACTGGGTCACCGGGGAGGCCCTTAGTGACTACTTTTAACATACAACTTTCATAATCCAAAACACTGTAATCCACAGGTTCTCAATAACTGAAGGCAGCAAAAGATTTCCCAATCACTAATTAAAATGAATATTATATTTCATAACATTTCTTTTTAAATTCCAAATTAAACATGCTAAGTGAAATAAATCAGATACCATCTGACTCCATTTGTGAGACTTTCTGGAAAAGGCAAAATTGTACAAATAGAAACCATATTAGTGGTTGCCAGGAGTTGGGGATACGGTGGTGGCTGAGTGTGCACACAAGCAGTATGAAAAAAATTGGGGACAGAGGGGAGGTGGGAACAGAAGGGCACCTGTACCTTGAAGGGGAACAGCCAGTTTACATGAATGTACCATCAAAACTCAAAAATGCACTGTAGAGTAAATGGTTTTCAGGCTTTCCTGCCCTCACACTATCCGGATTGCTCTGCCTCATGGGTCACCCTCAGTTGTTACATTGTTGCAAACTATCTTGTTTACTTCTGTGGGCCATGGGAGGAACATTGAGAGTGTGTCAGAAAGAGAAGCAGTAGAGAAGCAGAAAAGGCAGGAGAGAAGGGGAGAAAGAACACCAGAGAAGCCCAGAGTGAAGACTTGCTGGGGGCTTGGAGGCCTGCTGGCCTGTAACTGGTTGCTGCTCTACATGTAACAGCTAAATAAAAGTCTGAGAAAGCCACTGAAGGCTCCAGGACTCCTTCTTTACCCATCTGTTGGATCAGAAAACATCCTGTGCCCATTCTGCCCCTACCTGCACCAAAAAGAATGTATCTTTTGGCAGGTAAAAAAGATAACTAGGGCCTCCCCAGTGGTGCAGCGGGTTGATGAGCACAGCACTGTGAAGCTGTCCGCAGCCTCTGCAGTGCTGGTTCGATTTGCGGCTGGCCAGGGAGATTCCCACATGGCGCAGCAGACATTTCCTGTCCCACCCGCTACTCTCCTCAGCAGTATTTCGGTCCTTCTGCCTGTTCTGCTCCCTGCTCTGTCTCTGGTGAATTCTCTCACCCTCCCTCACCTCTAGTCTGTACCCTAGTGCTTATATAAATAAATCAATCTTCAAACAAACAAACAAAAAAGGGTAAAAAAAATTAAAAAGGTAACTAAATTTATGTTTTAAAAAGAAATTTAAAACATTCCAAATTAAGATGAAACTGTTGTTTAAAAAAATCAGCAACAGGTAATAACACAATACCCACATAGTGAAAAAACTAAACAGGCTGGCCCTTTGGTATGGCTAATTCAAAGTTGTGTTTTCCTTTAAAAACAGGCTAAGATTACTACACGCATTTTTAACTTCCTTTTTTTCCCCCTGATAACAGCCAGCTGTGGTCATCAGTCAGTCACCTCACAGTGCTGACCACACATAGCAGGGTCAGACCAGGTTCATGTCAGCCTGAACTACAGTCTCCTTTGCACTGGTGGCAGCTCCCAGATATGGGAGGTCTGTGGCAGGAAAAGTTCCCATATGGTTGTATGCTATGTTACTGCATCACCTCCTGACTCAAAACCTATGGTTATCCTACAGTCCTGAGTGACTACTTGCTCTTCTTTGTATAATTTTGGCTCAAGTCTAGTGGTCTCTATTTTTTTCAAATTCAGATCATACTGTCTAGGATACTCAAAGCCAGTTCCCAGAAATGGCCATTTTGAAATCTGTTTCAAAAACAGATTTTTGAAAATCAGTCCTTTTCTTCTCCTTTAGTTCCCATACTGAAGATCTTCTTGAGGTTTTTATTATTTACCCATACTGAAACAAAATTCAAAAACACAGTTCACAAAGTCATATAATTCCCAAAGGATCACATGAAGTAATATGATTCCTATGTTTACTACTCTAGTATAAAGAAATGTTGATATGCATGACTGGTCCTCTTTCCCCTCCTTTTCATGATGTGGGGGAGGGGAAGGCGGCACAAGAGGAAGGGGAGGGAGGGAGAAAATGTATTGCCAAAGGGTAGAATCTTCATTCCAAAACAGTTGTACATTTAGACCTTGTGGATTTTAGACAATTTCCTTTCAAACAATGAAGTATCCTTTCCCTCCCACTTGGTCACTAAGTCATCTCAGGCCCTTCTGTGATGCCAGTAGGCCCCTCTATCCCTTTGTCATGGCTGTACCTCACAGCCCATGCATGAGCTTGTGAGACAAGCAGGCTGCATCACTCCAATTACTTGGCTGCTCCATCCCACTGTTCTGTATATGCCTGCCAAGTTTTCTTTGTAAAATGTTGCAGAACATACACTCCATTACACAAATATGTCAGTGGTTATTCTTTTTAAGGCAGAATCTATTTACATTTTTTGAAGAATTCTAAACATAAAAGTCTGAGTAAGTATCAGACAATGAAGAGCTGGTAGGCTTATGGCAATAAAGGGTATTGTCAAATTAACCATTGTTATAAACACATAAGGTGGTAAATTTTCTAATTATTAAAAAAATCATAGCTTTAGGCCCAATTATTTTCAAACTTTAGGCATATGCAGAAGGTACCTAGATTATGTCTGTAGAAGACTTTCCTAAGCCCCAATTTCATCTTCTGTAAGGGGGGGGGTACTTACTTTATAGCTATCAGTGGAATGACTGAATATATGCCTGCACACAATAAGTACCTTATATGGCAATTTTCTAAAACAATTATACTCACTAATTGCCTTTACTGTAATCCCTAATAAGTTCTAATCAATTTTAACTTCTCCACATTTTTAATCTTTTCACTTAATATTTCCTCTATAGTGAGAGTGACAAGGCTTGTTAACCCTCTCTCTTAAATATATCTGATTTAATAAATCAAATCTGCACCTTCACTATTCATGTCTCAGTTCAGTCCCTCATCAACTTTCGTCAAGATCATTAGATTGTCCATGTTAAATATTTAGTTACAATTCATTTGAAAAATGGACTAACTACATAATGAGGAGGGAAAGTGACAATAGCCAGGCACAGGGTTTATGTTCTAAGCAGAGAGCAAAGCAATATGCAGAGGCATGGGTTCTTAGGAACAATCTATCTGAGAAGTCTGTCTTTTGGCAAGTATAAATCCTGATACCTGAGGGAGATGAAGGGACGCAAAGAGGCAAGAACCAGGCTGGTCTGGGTAAGGGACTTCTGCAGTGGTGTAGAATAAATGGTTTTCAGGCTTTTCTGCCCTCCCACCATTAGGGTTGCCCTGCCTGATGGGGCACCTGCAGTTGTTACATTGTTGTAAACTGTGTTGTTTACATCTGTGGGCCAAGGGAAGCAGAAGAGGCAAGAGAAAGGGGAGAAAGAAGCCAGGGTACCCAGAGTGAAGACTTGCAGGGGGCTTGGAGGCCTTCTGGCCCCCTAGTACCCCTGCCTGCTGTATACCTGGTTGCTGTACTACATGTAAGAGCTTAATAAAAGCCTGAGAAAGCCACCAAGGGCTCCAGGACTCTCCTTTACCCTGTCTGCCAGATCAGAAAACCTGCTCTGTGGCCTTCCTGGCACTACAAGTGGTCACAGACGGATCATTCCTGAGAATAATCATCACCCAGGTGTAGTGTGCTTAACAATGTACTCCGTACAGTGGCAGAGGGGAGCACAAAGGTAACAGGCAAGGACTTTACACTCTAAGTTGAGTTGAAAACCTTGTTACCAAGCCAAAAAATATACATATTCACATACTAAACTTGAGAATAAAATGGTAAAATTCAAATTATGGTGAGAAATATAAAAAAAATCAGAACTGTTAGGAATTAAAGTATCACAGACATATTAAGAGAGACCTAAATAAGAAATGGGCCATTCAGTGGTACTTGAAGGATGTGTAAAATACAACTGGGTAAAGAACAGGGAGGACACTCTAGATGGAATAAACTGCTTAAACTATTTTGATCTAATCCCAGTTGACCAGCACAATAATTAGGCACTCAAATTGTTTTCGGCAAATCTACAGGGACAGAGAAATAGAAGGCAGTCAGCATTACAATAGTATTCCTGGAACCTGATAAACAGAAAGCTCGCCAACAGTATTATAGAAAATAATGAAGGACAGCTAAAAAAATAAATAAAAATAATAAAACCTGAAGACAAGTAAGTACTTACATTAAAAAACTCCTCAAGCTATCTCCATAGCCTAAGCGACAGGACAACTTTGAAAGCAAAAATGGGGCAAAAGCTCAATCTCTCGTCTCTAAGCAAAAAAAACTGGAAAGGATTGCTGATATGTAGCTTAACCACTCCATTTGATTCAGAGGTTTCTGATGAACAGCAACCGCTGCATGCTGTAGACCTGTTAATAGTTAACAAGCCAGACTCCTGGAGAAGCAAATCAGTTGAGCTCAAAAATCTCAAAGGTCTATACAACAGGTTGGCTATCACTCTCCTACTTCAGGATCACCTTCTCTTGCTACCTTGTTATTTCTCCCTAAACTTGTTGTTTGTTCCCTAATCCTTCCCAATACATCAACATTAGAGGGAAAAACATACAACAAAAACTAATAATTGTGCCCCTATACTGAGTCTTATACACTGTTGTAGTATTTACTTGATACTTACAACAACCCTTTGTGTAGCTGACTTCATTTTTACTCACAGATGAGAAAACTGAGGAATAGGGGTTGAGTACATGGATCAAGCACCTAGTCAGGAGTGGCAGAGTTGGATTTAAACTCAATTTGATCCCAGAGTCTAAGTACTTAGAAATTCTAATTCTAATACTACTTAAAGTAGTATTAGTTGTAAAAGCTACTTTCTTCTTCTAACACTCCTAGTTCTTTATACAGAATGTAAAACAGAACATAAACAAATTTTTGCTATTTAACTATGGTAAATCTGAACCCAAGCCAGTTAAAAAAGATTACAGAGTTGTTAGCAGCTGAAACACAGTAGATGGCTGGTTCTGGTCTCAACTTCAGAAAGATCCTTTAGAACTGAGTCTTTTTTTATAACAATTGACTTTTTTTTCTTTTTCTTTTTTTTTAAGATTTATTTTATTTATACAAGAACCAGGGTACAGGCCAGAGGCGTGGGAGGGTGAGAGGATTCAAGAGAGACAGAGTGGGGAACAGAACAGGCAGACTTGAGAAATACACTGTTGAGGGGAGCAGCGGATGAGACAGGAGAGGTCTGCTCGCCATGTGGGTTGCTCCAAGGCCAGTGGGGATCTAACCAGCACTGCAGAGGCTGCGGACAGCTTCACAGCACTGCGCTCAAACGCCTGCGCCACCAGGGAGGCCCAATTGACATCTTTTCTAAAAGACTTATTACACCCACACCACTAGAGGCTAGAAGATCTGAATTTGAGTTTTGTTCTGTCACTTATTAGCTACTAATCTATTTACAGGGGAAAAAATCCTACAGTATAATGAATGTGGGGGTTATTATTATTTTAAAATAGAAATGCAGGAATATCAAGAATATTCTACATACAGACTGGTCAAATGACACATGTAAAAAGTACTTTGCAAAATGATAAAATACAAAACTCATTCTATTTTTTGGATATAATCAATTATTAGTACCAATTTCAGAAACAAGGAAGAATGTCTATGCTCTTCTCTATCTAAGTCAGTTTTTAATGTCATAAACAGATGCGATGCCTGGAATAAGTACCGAGAGGATGACTCACAGAACCTTAAGAAGTTGTAGAAATGCAGTTCTGTTTCTGGGAATGGCAATGTACAATTAAGCATCAGAGTTATTGATATATCACAATGCCATTTAAGACATATTATATGGAATAGTTGGCTCAAGACAAATACAGTAAGGAAAAGGTGTAAATAAGTCTAAGCCTTACTGTTTCCAACCATGAGTCTTCTAAGATCGTCTAAAATCGTCTGAGATCACATAAGCTTAGTTATGGATTTCATGGGAAGCTGTACCTGGTATTGCTTAGGGCAATACCTGTTTTTTTAGGATGCAATAAAAACCTGACAGCTGTTCTCCAAAGAGGAACGATTTTATTTCCTCATGCCTAAAGAGCACATCCTCACTTTGTTTACTTAATGGTTGACTAATATAGCATTTCACTAAATACCTACCTATTATTAACAGGTAGTTATTTCAGTAGTTATTTCACTAAATACCTACACCCCTGAAGTCATTTTTTGGCAAACATTTTCCTATTTTCTAGTTTTTCTAGTTCCTAATAGCATCTCAGAAACTCTGCTTTCACATTTTCCACCTATTCTAATTACAACACAAAGAAGGTAAAAGGAAAAAGAGGCGAAATGCCTCCATCCCCAGCATGACAACAGCAGGCCCAACAACCTACCATGTACACGTACCTCAACTAAGTATCAAGGAATAATTCATATTTCTGGAAAAATATTCAAGAATGTTTTTGAGCCATATGATACATTTATTTCACCATTTCCCCAAATTCAATAAGGACAAATTTTTGTGTGGTGAATCACTTGTGTTAGCAATGTTCCAGTAAGTCATATCCAGAATAGCTTGCCACTCTCCATAGCAGTGAGTACCAGGATTATGTACTGCACTGGAGGACTTTGTAATCTACATCTTCATTTGCTCTTCATCTGATCTTTCCATGAAAGGGAGGTGTTAAAATATTCATTTTACAGATGAGAAAAGGCTTAAGGAGGCTAAGGAACAAGTCCAAAGAACACTTCTACAAAGAATTCTTTGGACCTGATTGAATCCAAGTTGATTTCACCCTTGCGTCCTCTCTCTTAATTCCCAAGTTATTTTAATAAATCATTTTCAATATTCAAATATCAACCTGAACTTTAATATTCCAAATTTCTAGATCTTCTTGAGACTCCTCAGAGAGCTACCACATATAGGAACACAATCTAAATACAAATGACCAGAACTATATACTATTATAGATATTATCCAAACATTATGTGCTGCACCAAACTTCAAATCTACTAACAAAAATAATTCTTAAATTCATCATATAAAGTTTAATTTGAAGACTTACATTGATATTTTCTAATTGCAGTAGATGTACTGTATAATATGACTTCACATCTTCTGACAAGAACTTCACAATGAATCCTGTTTCTTTAAACTGCATCTCTTGGTCGTCTTTTGTTGGCCAGTACTGTGCACATTTAACCTAAATGTAAGAATATCCACATGGTTTCTTTAGTTGATAGACATTATAAAACTATAAAAAGTTGAAAAAGGAACACAAACCACACACAAACATGGTATATTTTTTTCCACAAGTATTCAAATCTGAGAACACTCACTATATTGGATATTTGATGTATTAATAAGATACACATTTTATAAAAGCAGGTTTATAAAATGTTTCTAAAACTTACATGCTAAAAAAAAGCCATGAAGAGATATGCTCACAAATAAAAACAAATCTATCGTTTCTGAAACATGATGGCCAACATTTTAACACCCTGCTGGCGTTTACTTTGTTTCCAAAAAAAATCAAAACTCAAGAATCTTCTCTTCAAAATAAATGGTTTTATTTTACAAGTATTTTTCCATAAGTACCTATGAATCTGCTACTGATACTACATATCTAGAAAAAACATTGCATGTTTATTTAATTAGATTAAATCAGGGAAGAGAATCATAGGATAAGGGCCCCTTTACCTAGTTTTGTTACATTTTGGCAGAACAGTGATGGAATTAAAAATTGTGACAATAAGCATTTTCCCAGTAGGCAAATTACGAAGTCAGCATAATAAGGCAAGGTAAAATAAATTCATTCATGGAGGGGGTAGGGGGAGAACCAATAGAAAATACCCTTGTAAAATATGGCCAATTCTCCCTTTCCAAATCATAAATAAGTACTAATAACAAACAAAAAATACCTCCAAAACAAATTAATGCCATGCATCAATTCTTTGAAAAGTGCTACAACACACTTACAGGCGATACAAAAAATGAAAAAACAAATGAAAATTAGAATTGAGATGATAAAAGAACACAATTATTACTTCAAAAATGAAGATAAACAAAAGGAAACAGGCATGAATAAAAATTACTTTAAAGTGAAGAGGAGGAGAAAAAGGAGGGCATTCTTTAAATAGAAAAGAAATGCCCAAAAAACAGACGACTGGATCAAGAAGATGTGGTATATACACATAATGGAATACTATTCAGCAATCAAAAAAGATAAACTCATGCCATTAGCAGCAACATGGATGGAGCTAGATGGGATTATGCTCAGTAAAATAAGTCAGGAGGAAAAAAAAAATTGAATGGTTCAACTTATAGGAGGAATACAGGGGAACCAAACAAGTGATTAGAGGGGGAAAAAAGACAAAACTAGCAGGTAAACTATAATTTGGAGACATTCAGCAGGGGAGGAGGAAGGAGAGGGACTAAAATGGGAGGGAAGAGAACAAGAGACTATGGTGAGGATTCACAGGTGTCTTGGTGGTGGGAATTTTATGGGGATTACACCTGAAAGGAGAAATCAAACTGGCAGAAATACGAACAACGATGCGAAAGTAAACAAATATATAAATCAATAATTTTTTTTTAAAAATGAAAAGAAATGGAGACACAAATAGGATTACAGGAAGTTTGACAAAGGCAAAGAAAATCAAACATGCACAAAGCAAGCAAAGGAACAGAATACTAACAAGCATAACTGAATTTTTCTTTATAAACTAAAAATATATTCGAAACCACATATTCAAAGAACACACTATGTACATGGAAAAACTGACCCAGAATCACCACCACTAAAACTTATTTTGGTAAAGTTAATGGGACTTGAAGAAAAAGTGGGGGCAAAATGCAGTGAATAAAAATTAAATTTAAAAAGGATATGAAATAAGATGCCCCTTGATTTTGATAGTGATTTGTAATAAAAGGAGGAACTGGAGTAATATATTTTAATTGCTCAAAGAAAAGCAAAAATCAGCCAATTATTTTATATCCTGCTCAACAGACATGTAAATCTAAAGACAGCAGAATAATTGTCACTGACATGTGGAAATCAGAAACTACAAAGCTACTGAGTTTTTCCTTAGGAACCACTAGAGAATGAGTGATAGAACAAGTGGAAAAACATCAATAAAGACTAGTGATGTATATTAAATACATATTTACATGTAGAACTATAATAAGTTGGTTTTAAAGGGCTATGAGAGAGAGCTATATGGTCTGACAATCTAGGTAAAGTACAATTGAAAAAAACAAAACAGAACTGGGGAAAACATTTTAAACTTCTTTTAATAATAACTGACCCCCTCCTGCACATGCATAAAAAAGTCTTATTTGGTCATCTTATTTGGTCACTCTATTTTGAAAGTTTCTTTTCCTATGCAATAAATAAGTGGTCAAGTAAAATGAGAAGTTTCTTTTTATCAAAACAGTCCAACAAAAACACAGGATGGAATGACAGAATTGGACTATCACTATTGTGACTCCTAATTAAGGAATCAAGCACTAGCCAACAATGATTGCTAATACAAAGGGAAAGATAATCCAGCATATGGGTCTCTTTGATAAACAACACAATGCTAGGTACTAATAACAATAATAAATCTCCCCCCCCCCAAACTGAACCTGATTCTTTTTAAGCCTCTATATCCAAACACCATAAATGACGTAGAAGTTAAAGATTTTCCAGTGGAAGTCTTAAATTATTGGTACAATAATTATACTCCAAATGATGGAAAAAATTTATAAATCATCCAGTTTTAAATCCTGCTCAAACTATTAAAATGGACAATGTCATCATCACTTAATTTTAAAATCATATTTAAAACCATGGACATCCTGGTATATCAATGCAACTTCACATTAGAAAACCGTTTACCGTTATTAACAAGTAGCAATGATGACTTTAAAAAAAAGAATTAGGAAGCTAAAGAAACAGACGCAACAGTCCAAAATCTTAAGGATGGAAGAGATTTTATCGACAATATTTTTCAATTTGTTTGTTTTACAAAAAAAGTCTAAAGCTACAGAAGTTAAAAACATAAGAAAAGTAACACTACTTAATAGCATTGTGCTTAGGCTATAATTTCAAATGTCAATAAATTTATACATTCCCATATCTGCTACTCATGACTTAATAATTTTTAAAAATGAAAAACCCTGTCACCTTAACTTTTTGTAAAATTTCCAAGATTTTGATAATAAATTATAATATTCTAATAAAAAGTAGGGATTTCAAATATGTATGAATCACTACTACTCAGTATTTATTCCATTATATTTGTATCCCAGAGGGTAATGGTCTGCAACTATTATTAAAATATTTAAGAAAGGAATTAGTTCAGAAACACCCTGAACACAACTTTAAATAAGTAATATAGTCCAAAACTAATGAATGGATAGCCCCCAAAGATAATTTATAAGTTAATGATCACAGACAATACATTAAATTTTAAATATTACTCACCGATTCTTTCTCCACAACTCGGTTTAACATGACAACCGCTTTGGTCTTTTGCTGCCAAACCATAAGCCAGAAATGACAACCTGTATTAGGAAGTGGTCCCTGCAAGAGAAGAAATAGTAGATTTAGAAAAAGGTTGAAGGAAAACTCCTTCAAGTATGCTTCAGTTTCATTTTATTGTACCTTGCTTTATTGTACTTCACAGAGACTGTATATTTTAACAAACTGCTATAAATATAGCCATCCTATATCAAGTAAATCTACTGGCACCAATTTTCAACAGTATGTGCTCACACTACTGTCTCTGCATCACATTTAATTAAGGTAGTAACACTTATTTTTACACTGAATACCAATGTATATGTAACAAACTATAAAAGGGAAAAAGTAACTTATATGCACTGGGAAACCAAAACATTTATGTGACTTGCTTTTACTGTGATATTCACTTTAATTGTGATGATTAATCACATTTATCTGGATCTGAGAGGCAGTATCTGCAAGGTGTGCCTGTAGTGGGTTCAAAATAAGTAATTTAAGACATTAAATCCATTTGAGTTTAAAAAAAAATAAGCCTGTACTAGTTTGGATTTTTGGTTATAAATGAGGAAAACTAATTTTTATTTATTTAGGCAGAAAAGTAATTTCTTAGACTTTGGTGGTACAGAGTTGAGAACTGGAGAACCAAGCTGGGTAGGAACCAATACCAGAAAAGATTCTGCCCAAAGAGTCAGCTTGGAACACTCTATTGTCACTTCTATCACCTTGTTTTGCAGGCAATGACAGTGTAAGTTTTCAAGCACAACCTATAAGCAAACCAGAGTTTAAATGAAGGCAGGAAGATTTAATTGGTCATATTGTAGATGTAAAGGAAATTTCTGTCCCCTTCAGCTTCCAGTGCAGTAAGAGGCCCTCTTTTGTAAACAGCCTGACAAAAGAGGAAGTTTGTGCCATTACTGTCCAGCCAATTGACCTCCAAGATAACTACAAAAAGATTTTCAGAAAAAGTTTAAATTTTAGAGTACCTGAATCCTATGACACTATTACTCTACAAAATTACAGCATTATAGCCTGAATAGCAGCCATAAAAGGGGCAAGGGTTCATATTAAAATATTGCTGGGGTGTGGAGATAATCAAATCATATGTATTTCTAATGATCTTCTCATTTTCTTAATGGTAGCACAGTGCAGAAGGGGAAATAAGAGGAAAAGGCCAAATCTAATTTAACTAATTTTAAAGGCGCAAAGTTAAAATGAATGAATCCCTTAAAACTGTAACCTAACATTTGAGGGTAACTGTTATTCTCACTCAAACCATCTACTGCTTGATGTGCTTTCAAGACAAAAGAGTTTAAAGCTAAAAAGAGCAATAAGAAAAATCTCCAGTAAATGAATGCCTTTTCTTCACCTAAAAAAGGAATGTATCAATTCAACAGTGAAATAATTCCTGAGTGTACATCCATCCATCCATCCATCTACCCACCCCAAATTCTTTTAGGTAGTTCTAAAGGGGTACAGGAGGCTGTCTCTCAGTTCTTTTACTTACCAGGAATGCCAGCTTACATCTGCAACAATGAAGATTTATACCATGGGATTGGTACATTAACAAAAAATCATCAAACTTAGAAAAAGATAATAAGCAATAAGAAGAGTAAAAACAACTGAGAATTTAATAAATATTTAGCATCTCTAGTTTTTGAAATACTGCCTGAGTATGTACTCTTCCAATAAATTAGGTATAAGAGCAAAAGCAGTCTCAGACTTCAAAGAGTTTACAAAGGAGGCTTTTGCCATACTAACACATCAAGTGCCAAAAAATAAGGGGGTAACCATCAGATCTTTGGGAGTAGGTAGGGCTAGAGATTGCTGAGGAGTTTTTAAAATAAGTAGGCTGCTAATACAAGGAGGGGAAGTCAAAGGAGGTGAAATGAGCCCAGTCGATTCCAAGCTGAAGGGCACAACTGGGAAAAGACAAATTGATCAGTAAGGCAGAAGTGGTTATACAGTGGGGAACTTCCAACTGTAGAGCATGACGGGTCCTGAAGGCAGGAAATAATCACCAAACTTCTTTTAGGAGGTAAAATGGTATGACTAGATTTGCTTGTACAAAAATAATTCTGGTGATATTGTTAAAAATGGACTAGAAAGGAGGAATTGGGAAGTAAATTAAAAAGCTATCCACATTAATGAAGGTACAATTTAAGAGAGGGCAGGGGGCAGAAGGGGAAGAGGAAGCAGAAGAAAGGAAGAATTCAGATGATGAGCTTTAATTTAAAGGAAAACAAAATTGGAAGGATTAAAAAAATGAATTAGGTACAGAACAAGTGGAATTTATGATGTCAGTGGTAACCTGGACAAAAATATCCAATAGACCCCTTGAAAATATGGAATTCAGAAATGAAAAAACTAAAGACAGGCTTCTGAGTTCTCATGACCTAAGTGCACAGGGCTCTGTCACATCATACAGAAACAGTCCAACAGGGACAGAGACTTAAGCATAATCACTAGGGTATTAACCAGGTACTTTCTTTACTGCAATGGGATTTGTAGTGGTTTATGTAACAATTATTACTGTTGTTATTAAAAAGCGGTAACAATACCCACAGTAAGTAATCCACAAGGCCTTACTGTGGTATCAAGCACTATATGAATTCCTTTTAACATCATTCTATAGATAGATAGGCTTGGGGAGTTAACTTATTCAAGGTCGCAGAGCAATCATAAGGCAACAGAGCTAACTGACTAAGAGGAGCATGGAGCCTATGGAGGCCATGTTCCTTTAAATTCTGGCTCTTGTTGACCTTGGTAAAGTCATTTAATGTCCCTGGGTCTCTTTAGATTCTAGCTTCATAGAATAAGGACCATAACAGTATATATCATGGTGGTTTAAATTATACAAAACATATAAAATACACAACAATGCTACAAAATTGCTAGCTGTTTTTAATTTTACTTAGCACTAGGATTAAAGTTCATAGTAGCAGGGTTTTTACTGGATCTCTTTTATTGGAACAATGCCTGCCACAAAGTACTCAATATAGCACTGTTGGCTAAATGAATATCCAGTTAAGTAGCAGGACCAGTTTAGCTCACATACTATGAATCCAGAGTCCAGATTTTCTTAAACACAATGGTTGAAAAAAACTGTTCCATGGAGTTCAAGTTCTGAGAGTAAATGACTTAAGGCAGTGGGTATGGGAGGGTGGGGAGAGAAGAAACCTAAATCAGAATCCTAAGAAAAACTTACATTTTTAAGGAATATGAAGGGAAAGAAATGAGACTGGGGGGAAAAAGAGAGGAAGAAAGGGTTGTAGTAAAGGATCTCAGGTAATTATTAATTATTCATTTCTCTTTTTAACATTATACCTTCTTCAAATAGAAAGTACATATTTTAACTCTAATACTGGTTCTATTAAAAACTTCATGAATGCTCATCATAAAAACTTCAAATGTTACAGAAAGGAAGAAAATGGCAAATTCAAGTCTCTATTTTCAATTCCCAGAAATAACCATTGCTATTTTGACAGAACAAAAATAGTAACTGATTACTGGTTTAAATTTATATTCCTTAATTACTAGAAATGTTGGGTATCTTTCCATATGTGAATTATCTGCCTTTATTTTTTTCTTTAAGCTGTGAATTTATGTTCTTTGCCTGTTCTTGTTTTTTTTTCCACATTGTTTCTCTTTTTGTTTTTGAATTACAGGAGCTATTTTATATGAAGTAAAACAACTAATTTTAGTTCCCTGTAAATTAGAAATAGTTTAATAGCTTATAGTTACATTCATTTGAATATCTTCTTACAATATTAAATTTCTTCTCCTTCAATTACAGGTTATTCTGATATAATTAGGTTTTATATATCTCAAATATTATGACAGCATTGTTCATTAAATCTTTTATTTAATAAAGGGTAGCTAGTGTGGATAAGCCAAAATCATTTCTATTATCTCAGAATGTAAAAAATGTACTGCTGGAATATGGGTATATCCAATGTGCCAAGAAGCAATCAGGCTGAAAGCCAAAGGGAATCCATCAAGCTCTCTGGTCTCCTTGCCAGTCTTTTGGGCATCTGGTCTCAAACCATAATAAACACCTTTGCGCTGCCCTAAGGAAAGGACAGAAACATCCAGGGTTCTCTGTACTCTCTGGAAATGTATGCCACAATATGGGGGAAGAGAAGAGCTTTCAAAGGGCCTCTAGAGAGGTTTAGCAAGATGGAGGCTGAGTGAAGACTCAGGACTTGCCCCCTTCAGATACTAAATTGATGTCAAACAAAGCTTAACTCCTCCTGAGGGAACAACAGATGACCACAGCTCACAATAGGAACATCACCAGCAGAAAGTAGTAGGAAAAACTTTCAATGACTTTGTTTAGAGTGATGATGGGGCAATACAATCTGTAAGAGGAAGGAATGGCTACTGTTCAGAGCCCCCTATAACTTCTGACTAGTGCTTATGCCATTACTGGGGCTCCTGATACCTAGTACTACACTGGATAAGGGGGTGTGCAAGTAGGCACTCAGGACAGATGATGCACTGTTCCAGAGCTGCAGGGGTGGGGCCACAGAGTTAGGACATTGGTTTGAGTCTGATGCTTGCAATATATTCAATTCAGCTGTAGCCTGAACTGGCGAGAGCACAGGGGTATCCTTACAGAAAAGGCTGTTACTTTTAAGTACAGCTGAGATACCCAAAGCACCTGCCACCCCTCACCCCTGAGCTAAATTCAAAACAAAGAAGATCCAACAAACTAGTGCTCAAACACCTACCAATAACAGAAGCAAACTCCCCAGAATAAGGCTCTGTGCTAGAAAAGTGAACTATTCCCTGTCCTGTGACACTGTGTCAACTACAACCCCTGCTTAGCACTGCATCTAGTGTTCAAAAATAGCCTAGAGTGGAAACTGACACTAATAAGACCAGGAGCTGGCCCAGAGGAGGAGATCACTATGGTTTCCTACACAACTCTGGCACCTTCAACACAGTAGGAATTTTGAATTCTGAATTTATTGGAGGTGATCCATTAGTACCTTACTGTCACTTTCTTCTTTCACACCTACTCTCCTTCACAGTCCACAGATTACTTCAACAGGTATAAA